TAATAAATCTCAGAGGTTTGTGCACCATCTCGGCAGTCGTTTATGTGCAGAAAGAACACATTGATCATTTAAAAAACTGTTGGTTAAAGTATATTTTTCTTGTTATGTTTTTGAATAAAATATGTAATTTTTTTTAATACTAGAATTTAGGAGTGTTTTTTATTATTTTTTGTATTGGTTTAAGAGTTATTAAATTCATTTTTATGAACATTTCATTGTTAAGCCAACAAAATAAAAAGTATTTAAATTTTTTTATTTATTTATGATAAGGAAGAGAAAAACTTTCAGTTTAATGTTAAAATTCAACACGTTTAAATTCTGTATGTGGTTTCATTACTTATTGATTTACTTTACTAATATCACTTTGAAAATTAGATAAATACGCAAAATAAAACATTTAACTCATCAAACATCTATTAAGAACAAATCTAGCATGTAGACATTGAAATTTTAATAAAGATTGATACTTATAATAAAGGTTTACTGTACGGGTGACACACGCCTACAAGCTAGTAACCGTATATGATGATGGGATTGGACCGCTGGTTGTTCAACTTTTTCGGCTCACAATCAATGGATGAGCTATGGAAGGAAGTGGATCGAGATGGGGATCTAGCAAAGAGCCGTACAACTCTATTTGCAATATCTAAGTGGTGAGATGAGTAGAGAATGATGTATCGATAGTCGCCACAAGGTTTTATGGTGATAAACCTTGATAAGACAAAGAACTCTTCAAGCAATGAATCGCACAAAGGTTTAGAGACTAAGAGATTGGTACTTAGCCAAGAAGTTCGTTCTTTATTGATATGAATAAAAAGATACACAGCTGTGAGGAGACTTTATAAACAGTCCGAACAGCTTTGCCCTTATAGGAGACTTGAAGCAAATACAAAACCCTTTGGTTAAACAAATCGGCTAACAATGCCTTAAAACGAAAATGTAAATAAAATGTGGCCAACATGCCTTATACTAATGTTTAAATGAAATAAAAGCTGAACCAAAACAACCAAAGAACGAGTTTTATTAGTTGAATAAACCATATTGAAATAAGAACTCGGACTTACCTCGGTTTAGGTAGTTTATAAGCATTTTCACTTAAGTAGCGTAATACTAAATAAGGAAACCCCTTTGCTAGCATGAATCATTGGCCATCCGTGTGTATAAGCTATGCTTTTGATGTGAGGACCGTTGATGAAGTTAAAACCGTCTTCTTGACTAGCTTGGGCGTTCTCTTGCTCGTTAGGAATGCCTTCCTTGTTTAGGGAGTCTTCTTGCTCGTTGGGAATGCCTTCCTTGTTTAGGAAGTCTTCTTGCTCGTTGGGAATGCCTTCCTCGTTTAGACTTGCCCTCACCATAGCTGCTTCTTTGGCGATGCTCAGTTGGTTAAGTCTAGTAGTGACATCTTCTAAGTGTTGAGAAGTGATCAGTGTCTCCACTGCTTGGTTGAAGCCTTCGGTAAGGTCTTTAGTTCCTAATCTTGTTATAGGAGCTTTCCTCATGATGGGAACTTCAGCTTCAGCCTCTAAGTTTGTATCATCCTCTCCCCCTTGGAAAGGTTCTGTCCTCAGAACTGATTCTCCTACATCAAACGGTAACAAGTCAGATACATTGAAGGTATTAGAAATGTTAAACTCATCTGGAAGCTCGATCTGATATGCATTGTCATTGATCCGTTTAAGGACTTTGAATGGGCCATCTCCACGCGGTAAGAGCGTAGACTTCCTCTGAACTGGAAACCTCTCGGTTCTCATGTGTAGCCAAACCCAATAGCCAGGCTTAAAGGTAACTTCTCGGCGTCCCTTCTCAGCATTCTTCTTGTAATGCTCGTTCCTCTTCTCTATGTTCTCCTTGACCTTCTTGAACATAGTCTTCATCAGCTCGGCCTTACTAACTCCATCTTTACTCACTTGTTGCACCAGCGGTAAAGGAGTCTAAAGGAGCAATGGGTCTAAAACCATATACAATCTCAAAGGGTGAAAGCTTAGTAGCTGAGTGGGGTACTCTATTGTAAGCAAACTCAATGAAAGGTAAACAGTCTAGCCAATTCCTTAAATTTTACCAACCGTAGCCCTTAAGAGGGTGGAGAGTGTACGGTTGACTGCTTCAGTTTGCCCATTGGTTTGTGGGTGGCAAGTTTGAGAAAAGAAGCTTAGTCCCAAGCTTTCTCCAAACGGTTCTCCAAAAGTGGCTCAAGAACTTTGTGTCTCGGTCAGAAACAATGGTTCTTGGAAGGCCATGAATCCTCACCACCTCTTTAAAGAACAAATCAGCAATCTGAGTAGCATCATTAGTCTTGGCACATGGGATGAAATGCGCCATCTTAGAGAAACGGTCCACCACTACAAAGATTGAATCCTTGTTTCTGATCTTGGATAAGCCTAAAACAAAATCCAAAGAAATGTCTACCCATGGTAGGTCAGGTATATGTAAAGGAATGTATAAACCGTGGGGATGCAACCTGGATTTTGCTTTTAAGCAAGTGATGCACTTGGAGCAGAAACTCTCAACGTCATGTCTAAGATGGGGCCAGAAGAAATGCTCCTTCACGATGCTAAGTGTTTTATCCATCCCAAAATGTCCCATGAGGCCTCCACCGTCTGCCTCCCTTATGATGAGTTCTCTGACTGAGCTTTGAGGTAAGCATAGCTGGCGGTCTTTGAAGAGAAAGTCATCATGCCTGTAAAAGGAACCAAAAACTCCTCAGCTACATTGGTTATAAAGCTCCTTAAAGTCAGCATCCTGCCATAGAGTTGTTTGAGATGCTCAAATCCCATAATCTTAGCCTCCATTGTTGAGATGAGGGCGTGTCTTCTTGATAAAGCATCCGCTACAACATTCTCCTTTCCCTTCTTGTATTTGATCACATAGGGAAAAGTTTCTACGAACTCAAGACATCTAGCATGTCTCTTTTTCAGAGTTGTTTGTCCTCTCAAATACTTGAGAGTCTCATGATCTGTATGAATAACAAACTCTTTAGATAAAAGGTAATGTTGCCAAGTTTCAAGAGACCTTACTAGAGCATATAGTTCTTTGTCATAGGTGGGATAGTTAAGGGCGGCTCCATTGAGCTTTTCACTAAAGAAAGCCACAGGTCTCCTTCCTTGAGTAAGAACAGCTCCAATTCCTGTACTTGAGGCATCACATTCAACTTCAAACATTTGGTTAAAGTTAGGTAATGCCAAAACAGGCGCATGTGTAAGGCTATCCTTAAGCCTTTGAAACGCTAGCTCCTGCTCTTTCCCCCATGAGAATGCTACATTCTTCTTGATCACCGAGGTTAAGGGGGCGGCAATGGTGCTGAAATCTCTCACAAATCTCCTATAGAAGCTGGCCAAAACGTGGAAGCTCCTGACATGACCGATGGTGGAGGGAGTTGGCCATTCCTGAATCGCCTTAATCTTCTCCTCATCCACTTTAAGCCTATGTGAACTTACTACAGAGCCTAAAAACACTAACGGATCAGTGCAAAATGTACATTTCTTTAAGTTTGCATATAAACCCTCTAACCTTAATGTTTCTAGCACCTGCTCAATATGTTTGAGATGATCATCTAAGCTAGAGCTATAGGTCAAAATGCCATCAAAATACACAACTACTGACTTACAGATGTATGCTCGCAGTACATGATTCATGAGCCTCATGAATGTACTCGGTGCATTGGTGAGACCGAAAGGCATGACCAGCCATTCGTATAAACCCCTCTTGGTCTTGAATGTTGTCTTCCACTCATCGACATCCTTCATTCTGACTTGGTGGTAACCGCTCTTGAGATCAACATTTGAAAAGATAATTGCTCCACTCAACTCTTCTAACATATCGTCTAACCGGGGAATGGGGTGCCTATACTTGATGGTGATGTTGTTTATAGCTTGGCAGTCTACACACATCCTCTATGATCCGTCCTTCTTCAGCACTAACAGGACCGGTACAGCGCAAGGACTCAAGCTCTCTCGGATGTAACCTTTGGACATAAGGTCTTGAACTTGTGCTTCTAGCTCCTTTGCTTCCTCCGGGTTAACTCTATAAGCTGGCCTGTTGGGTAAAGGTGCTCCGGGTATAAGGTCTATCTGGTGCTCAATGCCTCGGATGGGTGGTAAACCGGCTGGTATCTGATACAAGCATGGAGTAATGTCTGGCTTAATATGACCTTTGGTACGAGAATGGCTCGATCAGTCTAGGAGGAGATGGAACGGACGGTAGGGGATGTCTTGCAGCCGAGATACTCAGGACACAAGGCACGGTACAGGGACGTGGGACGAGCGGGACGGTCGAGTGGGACGATCTAATCAGCCAGTACGAGTGACTGAACGGATCAAATGACTGGATGGGACGAGGGGTGGTCGTATGGTCGAGATACTCGGACGATAGACCAGTGCTCGAGCGGGATGGTAGAACAGAACAAAATGGATCGAAGTGCACCACAAGAGTTATGATTAGGCCCTTGATACAACACGAGAACTCTCTCTAAATTTTGGAGGTACTGGTCTCGACAAAACAAGAGAATAAACACAAGATTTTTAGATGTAATCTTATGAAGAAAATTCGTTATTTTATTAATCAAAGTTGAAAATTACAAGGCTGTTAGAGGGGACTTTATAAACTAGTCCGAACAGCTATGCCCTTCTTGGGGTCTTTGGAAATAAATTACATGAATTAAAAATGCAAGAAATCAGGCTAACATTTTCCTTACTTATTAAACGAAAAATCAACATAAATATAATAAAAATTAACGACTAAGTTTACGCTGCAAAAGAGATTGAAAATCATTAGTCAAAAGGTAATGAAAATTATCATGAACACTTACCTTGTTTGTTGGCTTGGTTTTAAGTCTGAATGATCTCCCTCGTGATAACTCTTTGACTGTGTTTTATGGGTCTTGGGCCTTGCTTGAAATAACAAAGAGATTATAGCCGTTTGGTTTAGAGAATAAGGGCCGTGCTTCTTGAATTTCCTCAACTCCTAATGGGCCTTTGCTAGCTTGAACAACGTCTTGAAGTTCTTGATCATCAGCTTGTTGGCCGGCTAACATGATGGCCTGATTGTACTTGTGTTGTAGCACTCTTGCTCTTTCTCTAGTAATAGCTCTGGTTGGCACTTCTATCACTTGAGGTTCGGTTAAGTCCGGTTCTTCATGTATATCTCCATCATTCCCTCCCTCTTGAATAGGTTTTGACCTCAAAACAGGATCATCTGCAAGGAATGGAGCTAGATCAGATACATTAAAAGTAGAAGATACATTGAACTCACCTGGAAGTTCAAGACGGTAGGCATTGTCATTGATCTTCTCAAGGATCTTGAATGGGCCGTCTCCTTCTGCTCAGCACACTCCGACCCTTCCATTGACCAGGAACAGTACAGGTAATCCGAGGAATGCCTCACCCGATGATTGGTCCTTGGTTGGTTGACTAGCTACTCCTCTGCTTGAAGTCAGCACACTCCTTTTCTTTTTCTGAGACCAGCTCCTTGTTTTCGTAACCTGAGGAGTTCTGGTGAGCTAATCTTCTAGATTGGATGACAGTTCCTAGGGTTCACCTGAAATTGGTTGACTAGAGGAATCCACTTACCTAGCGGAAGAAAAGGGGTTCCTCCTATAAATAGAAATATGTCTAGGTCACTTCCACCAACAACTCAAGCTATTTCTTACTGGGATTCCCCCCCACGCTGATCAACAACCATTGAGATAGGATAGATCTTGGTTTTAGCTTTGAGCTCCGTTGGTTTGGAAACCTTTCTTGCCTCTTGTGTAGCCAAACCCATTCTCCTGGTGTAAACACAACTTCTTTTTGCCCCTTGTTGGCGTGCTTTGTATACTGCTCGGTTCTCTTTTCCAAGTTTTCTTTAGCCTTCTGATGCAACTTCTTGATAAACGCTGCTTTCTCTTCTCCTACTAGACTTACTGCTTCGGCTGGTGGCAATGGTGTTAGGTCTAGAGGCGTGGTAGGGTTGAATCCGTAGACTATCTCAAAAGGGGACATCTTGGTGGCTGAATATTGTGCCCGGTTGTAAGCGAACACTATGAATGGTATACACTCAAGCCAATTCTTCATGTTTCTCCCAATAGTTGCTCTCAACAAAGCTGACAAGGTCCGGTTGACTACCTCTGTTTGTCCATCCATTTGGGGGTGGCAAGTGGTAGAAAATAAGAGCTTTGTTCCTAGCTTCTTCCACAAGGTTCTCCAGAAATGGCTGAGAAACTTGCTATCCCGGTCTGAAACGATTGTTCTTGGCACTCCATGTAATCGGACTATCTCCTTGAAGAACAAGTCAGCCGTTTGAGAAGCATCATTCACCTTGGCACATGGTATGAAATGTGCCATTTTTGAGAAGCGGTCTACCACCACGAATATGGAATCCTTCCCGCGAATCTTTGGTAGCCCAAGTACGAAATCCATGGAGATGTCTACCCAAGGTGCCGTGGGGATGGGTAAAGGTAAGTATAACCCATGAGGGTGTACTTTAGCCTTGGCTTTCTTGCACGTCACGCACCTAGCACAATGAGCTTCCACGGTTTTCTTGAGGTGAGGCCTGTAAAAGTGTTCTTTGACGATGGCTAAGGTCTTGTTTACACCGAAATGCCCCATAAGTCCACCACCGTGAGCTTCTCTTACGATCAAATCCCTAAGAGAGCAATGGGGAATACAAAGCCTCTTTTCTCGGAATAGAAAACCCTCATAGATCTAGAATTTGCCTTGTCCTCCATTGTTGCAACCGTTGTAGCTATCTTTCAATTCAATGTCTTCATCATATAGCTCCTTGATGTATTCGAACCCCATAACTTTAGCCTCCATGGTTGAGATCAGAACATGTCTTCTAGATAGAGCGTCAGCTACAATGTTTTCCTTCCCCTTCTTATACTTGATAATGTAGGGAAACGTCTCTATATACTCCATCCAACGGGCGTGCCTCTTCTTTAGGTGAGTTTGTCCTCTGAGGTGCTTCAATGTCTCGTGATCAGTATGCACTACAAACACTCTTGACATCAGATAATGTTGCTAAGTCTCCAACGCTCTTACTAGAGCTTATAGCTCTCGGTCATATGTAGGACAGTTTAGCGTGGCACCTCCTAGCTTCTCGCTGAAAAAGGCTACTGGCTTGCCTCCTTGAGTTAGTACTGCCCCAATGCCAACTCCTGATGCATCACACTCCACTTCAAACGTCTTCTCAAAATCAGGTAGGATCTAGACTGGTGCATTGGTAAGTTTCTCTTTAAGGTCTTCAAACGCCTTTTGTTGAGCTTATCCCCATACAAACTCTATGTTCTTCTTGATTACAGCCGTGAGGGGAGCTGCTACACTGCTAAAATCCTTCACGAACCGGCGGTAGAAGCTGGCTAGGCCGTGGAAACTTCTGACTTGGCTGACACTTGTTGGTGTTGGCCACCCCTTTATAACCTTAATTTTCTCATCATCAATCTGTAAATCCTGCGAGCTTAAAACAAAACCTAAAAAAACTAGCTTATTAGTAAAGAATGCACACTTCTTTAAGTTTGTATAAAGTCCTTCTTGGCGAAGTATCTTTAGTACAAGCTCAAGATGTGATACAAAAAAAAACATCATTAAGATGGGTATCGATAATGTAATTGGATAAGAATTGCGAAAGAATCCATCGATAATGATAGTGAAATGGTGTTTTTACAAGAAAAAAACACATGACGGTGATTCCATATATGATTGAGTGGATGATTACAATCTATTCTGATTTGTTATTTAGATGGGTACTAGTACACGGTGCCTGTTCGGATCTACAAGGGTTTGTTGTCAATAACCGTTTTTTCTCTCGATTCGATTTTGTTTTATGCATTTTCCTTCATTTGATGATTCTAGCCTTTGATTCCTTTTCATATGCCTCTGTTTTATTCATCTTTTGTTGTTTAACTCCAATTCTTTTTGAAAAATCAATACCAAAGACTTTCCTTTTGAACAAAATTGGAGTTTTCATTATTCAGATTTTCATAGTTATAGTGCATCTACTACGATGTGTTTTAGTACTTTCATTCCTTCCTTTGGAATTTAGATTAGGACTAGCCAAATCATGTTGTGAAGAAAATGGTTTTACTTACAGTTCCAAAAATCTATTGGAAGAGAATGTTTTGTCTCTCATTTTGGGAGGGTTTTTCTGGTGGTAATATTCATCAGTTTCTTCCCGTTGCCTACAGTTTTTAGTGGAATACTTAACTGGGCATCGGTTTCTCGTTTTAAACCCAAAACACCTCCCTGAAATTTTAACTTGTCAATCTTGAATACCAATCCCAAGTTGTTTTCAGTCGCATGCTCAGATCCGTTTCATGCACCATATAGTTGGAAAGAAGCTTTGGATGGATGCAAGGATATATGGAGTCAAAGAGGAAACAATATAAAGTTTACACTATCAGCAAAGACGCCAATATGGACATTTAATGGATGCAATAGCCTTTGTCGGTTCGATTTGGAAAGTAAAAATAGCAATGCCAATCTGGCATACCTATCGTAACCGAGTGACAATTATAGAAAAAGAAAAATAACAGCACACAATTTCCGTTAGCGTGCAAGGCTTTTCTTCAAAAGAAAGCAACATTTCAAATTCGTTTTTTATATATATCGTCTAAGTATATGGCGCATATATCTACTTATGTAATAATTTGTATTTCAATGTTTTGTATTGACTTTGTAATCATTTTTATACTTTGATAGTTTAATAAAATTTAGATGACAAAAAATATATATATTCAGCATCATTAGTTGGTTAAGTCGCATAGAAACACTAATAACTATACTTTTAACCAATAGAGTTTTTTTTAAATAGAGAATATATATTAGGAATGGAAATCCGCGGCGTAACGCAGGTATTAGTCTAATGTATAGTTAAATAAGGAGGTACTGACTTGAGGTGGAGCTTCTGTTAAAAGATTTGTGAAATTAAGTTATGATTTTACAAAGTTAAATAATGATTTACCTAAAGTTAAATAAGGAGTTATTGACTTGAGGTGAGCTTCTGTTAAAAGATTTGTGAAATCAAGTTATGATTTTAAAAAGAGTCTTGAAGAAATCAGTAGAAGACAAGGCATAAAGAAGAACACACATGTCAAAAGTGTTTACTTGTGTTGTTGAGACATCAGAAGAGCATGTGTTGCTCGTTGGAGAAGTTGCGGAGAAAAGGGTGAATTTTGATGATTCGTAGAATAAAACCTAAAGCAAAGTTCAAAGCTTTCAGTTATCACAGCAAAAATAACTTACAAGAGATTAAGAATGTGGAATTAACAGAGGATTGGAAACTTGAAGAATCATCGAAGGAAGATGCGTGGATGGCTGAAATCACATCTGTGTTTCTCGCCTTGAGCCCAAGATGGAGGCAACTTGAATCAACGGAGGTTTAAGTTAATAGTTAGAATTTCCGGGGAAAACTAGGGTCGGAGATCCATTAATTAACCTAAATATTACTTTGTGGTCAGGTCTCTCACAGTTAAACCTAAATACGTTAATATATAATTTTGCATCAACTCTGACTGGAAAAAGAAATATAAGATCGTAAAAATGAAAAAAGGAAAAATTTTGGTGGATAACTAAAAAGGAAAAATAACTGATAAACTAACCATTTTTCATAGAAACAGATAGAAAGAGATAGAGAGAGAGAGAAATTGTTTCGAAACTGAATTATAATTATTTTTAAGTTATTCACTAAATTATCCCAAAACAAAATTTGAAGACGAGATTTTAATAAAAATATAACGATGAAAATAAAGAAAAGAAGCTTATCTTGTATCAAGTGAATAGGCTTTGTGATGAAAATATGAAACTTTAAGTGATTATTTGAAAGTGTGTTTTAAGTGTGTTTTATTTTTGATTTTAATTATACGGAAGTATCTTAGTGGTCATTGAGGAAGTTATTTGAAAAACGTGTATATGATTACCTTTCTTGAATATATTTCATTGTTGACGATTTCGTGTATTTTTGTGATACACACGTCAAGCATACTTTATCATGCAAACATAGATTATTACACCACAAACAACAAACGCACAAATTTCGAGACTCGCATATCTTTAATTGTAAATAACTTTCCAATCACGGTACTTCACTATATATATTTCCATTTTATTTGACCAACACAGCATGAGAAATCCATATGCATGACTTTTAGTGACCTGGATCAGTACTCTCTGCCTGAGTTTGAACAGACTCACCAGCATAAGCACAGCACCTAGAGCAACCACCGTAGTAACCTCTGTAGCAACAACCGTAGCGACAATATCCTCTTCCACGTCCTCCATATCCGCTCCTACCACCATATCCACCACCGCGGTTTCCACCATATCCGCCACCGCGGTTTCCACCGTATCCTTCACCTGGGTAGCCTCCACCGTATCCTCCTCCTGGATACCCTCCATACTGTTCAGTTTGCTTTCCTTCTTCTTTCTCTATTTCTGAAACCCAAAATTTTCGTGAACACCAACTCTTACTTACGCATTCAATCAATGAAACACATCTCATACTTATTTTATAAGTAACTTAGAAATATGATCCATTCATGATCATTTTTATTCATCCGTATTTAAGCTTAACAAATATTTCGAAAAGGTCGGGAATAAACGATTAGATGTTTTTATTTTTATTTTTGAACTCTATAAACGATTAGGTGGTTCACATACTTAGCCATGAGTCATTGACAAAGCCAAACTTTAAACAGATTTATAGAATAATAGATAGCTTTCAACATTTAAATAGCTTGCATATGCATGTTTCGGTCGGTATTCTACGGATTTTAAGTAAAAGTTTTTTCGGTAAATTCTTACGTACCATTGTTCTCAGCGAGGTCCCTAGCTGCCACCTCAGAGACTATGAGAAGAGCGACAATGAGACTTAAGAAAAGCAATGCTTTAGAAGCCATCGTAAGCGATCTCTCAAAAAACTAGTTTTGTTTATGTGTTATTAAAAAAGATTATTCAAGAAGCAGCTGGTGAGAGTATGGGTGTCCCCTGAAAAACCTATATTTATAGAAAGCGAGGTGGGTGTGTAGCGTGAAGGTTTTTCTATTGACATTAATCAGGTGTAAATACTCCGTGCATTATCTACAAAACAAGAAGTTAGATTTTATTAAAATAGACGACAAAAAAATAAAAGATTTTATTAAAATAAAGATGTCAAGTCAATCACAAAAAGAAAAGAGGAAAAAAAAAGTCAAGTGGATAAGCGCAATTAGGTCACTGGAAGGGCCCACGGTACAGTTGGTTGTTGGATAAGATTGGTAGTAAATTTATGCACTTCGATTATTAGTTCACACTTCATACTGCACGTTTTTTTTTTTTTTTTTTGCTAACTTCACAATTAAAGTAGGTTGGGGTTGGATTTCACATAATAAATCCGCTTCATTCAAACTTAATATATAAATTCAAACTAAGTATAAATTGAGCTTCGTTCATATAATCCAAACCCGATCCTTTATAATAATCTAACCCTGAACATCAGCATTCTGTTTGATGAGGTCGAGAAACAAAAACGATTATAGACCAAATCGGAGCATATTCCTGCCACTTCAAATGAGTCCGAAATTTTCAGTAGAGGTTAGTGCACGTGACCGAGATACACGCTGAAGGTTGGAGCTCGACGTGGCGAAGTATATAAAGGAGGCAAACAACTTAGTTTAGAAAATCTTCGGCTGGATATTCTTTTACACTTTCTGACACACGAAAATTATATAACTGCTCTTTTTATTCAATATTTTTCACAGAAATCCTTGTAACCGTTTAATTCGTCTGATTAATATTAAATCTTTATTTCTGTTAGTGTATGCTTATATAGTCAATCTGTTCGAGAGAATCTAACCCTTAATTCTCCTAAAGTTCTTTCCTTACAAAAAAACATAAATTTCTGAAGGTGGATTTCTGTATTCACATTTTGGCACCATCTGTGTGTTGGAGCTGGATTTAGCACCCTAAATCCGTCCCACTCAAGCCCAACAGGCAGATCCAAACTAAGCCAGATTGACTGGGCTTTGACCCTGCGGCCCAGGCCTATTCAGCTCTCAACGATCCAATCCTGAACAACAAGACGTTCCGTTCGACGAGGTCGAGCTACAGCTCGATCTAATCCCGAAAACCAAGGAAGGATCTGGGCCAAGTCAGAGCATATTCTCGCCAGTTCAAACGAGTCCGAAGATTTGCAGAGGAAGTTGCTGCACGTGGCGAGATTTCCGGCTGGAGCTGCTGCACGTGGCCGAGATACGCTCTGGAGTTCGGAGCTCGACGAAGCAAGCTATATAAAGGAAGGGAACGGCTTAGTTTAGGGGACTTCTTCCGGACTTGATCTTTTCACCATTTTCCACCTGAAAACTCTGTAACCGCTCCCAGAGCTCTTCTCAGTTCATCTCCTTCATCAAAATCTTTGTAACCGTTTCATTCAACCGATTAATACTAAGTTCTTATTTCAGTTAATGCTAGCTTATATTGTCAATCTGTTCGAGAGAATATAGCTTTTAATCCTCTAAATTTCTTTCCTCACAAAAACATATAAATTTCTGAGTGTGGATTTCTGTATCCACATCTTGGCGCCGTCTGTGGAGAAGATCTACAGATTTCTCTTACTCAAGAGCAGATCTTAAGCCAGCTGAAACTAAAATGGATTCAACTCAACAAACCTCGGGAAACGTCTCACCGATTCCGATCTCTCCAGATCAAGTTATTCCGACCGGCAACGTCAGCCAGACAGCCGGCAAAAACGAACTCAGGGTTACGACCCTCGTCGATACCACTGGCACGAACTCCAACGTTCCCAGCTGTGTGGAACCGATCGTGATCAACCTCGTCACCCCACCAAGAACAACGAGCAATCAGTCACAAACAGCCGAGATGCCTCCCTCTCGAACCTGGGTGCGATCTGAGAATCCACCTACAACTTCGACGTCTCAGAGCCGAGCAGCTCTTGTTTCCCCGCCGATACCTGTAGCTTCTAGGAGCACATCGGAGTCGGCGGAGATACTCCAAATGCTCACACACCTGATCAATCGACAACGAGATCAGGAGATCAGGCTAGAAAGACAGGAAAGGCGTCAAGCCGCAGCTCGATCCGCTGCGAGTCCACCTCCACGGACTCAGCTCGACTTTTCGTCGATCCCTGCTCTAAGTAATCCACCCGGACCATACGTGACACTTCTGCGTGCTCCAGGTCCACCAAACTTTGCCCCCGCGGCGAACCAGACACCAATCACCACGGATATTTTGGCTCAAGTAATACAGAGATGGGACCTCGTCTCGTGACGAGATATCCATCTCCGCCTGTGCCAACACCAGGAATACCCGAAATGGGACCCTGTCCCAACACAAGATATCCATTTCCAGCTTTAAGACCACCTGGAACCGAGCCACCTCGACAGAGATGACTTGGGTCCTCGGCCTTCGCCTCGAGCTCGCAGACACCACCCCAGTTCGGCCAACAACCGAACACAACCTCGAACTCGAGAATTCCCAACGGGATCCGCGAACAACCTGTAGGGTTCGTTCACCAACAGCTTGGAACTCATATTCCGAATGATCAGACCCGGGCTAACCACCTCGGCGTCGGCTCAAAAAACCTAGTCGACTGCGAATCCTTTGAAAGGTTCCAGAATCAGACCGACTATGCCATTCAGCAGATGAACTCTATGTTCCACCAAGCTACGAGCTGGGCTCCTGACATCGACCGAGTAATTTGCGAGACCTAACGGACTCCGTTCACTTACTCGATCATGAACACGTACCTCTGAGACACTACTAAAGTACGAGTCCCAGAGTACACTGGAATCAGCGACCCAAAAGCTCACATCCGACTCTTCAACTTCGCAGCTATCCGAGCTAACTTCTCCCCAGAAGAAAAAGAAGCAGGATACTGCAGGCTCTTTTCCCAAAACTTAGTTGGACCAGCCCAGGAATGGTTTGCGACGCTGGAAGAAAATTCGATATCGAATTTCAGCAAGCTCGCAGTAGCCTTCCTCAAGCAATATTCGATCTTCATCAAAAAACGAGAAACCAAAGCTGACCTCTGGAAGCCAGTCCAAACTCCAGACGAACCACTTCGATCATACATTGCTAAATTCAAGGCGATCAAAGCAAAAATCGCTAACCCCTACGAAGCAGTAGCCCTGCTCGCCCTCCGAACCAACTTTTGTATTCAGTCGAGGTTCAAGGCGGAGCACACGCTTCGACCTACAGACTCACTCGATGACGCGCTCCATCGCCCTTCCATATACGCTAACTTCGAGGATAAAACAGCCGCCTGCGGAACAAAATACCGTAACTCACAGCTCCACCTCGCATCCTCCGGGTCGAAGAAAGCTAATGTCCCACCTCCCAAAAGGAAATCGCAAGGCAAAAGTCAGCATTTGTATGCTATAGAAAGCTCGTCCCTTGAAAAGGAGTGGAGCTACGACCAAAGCAAATATTGCGAACACCACAAAAAGAGCGGACATTCCAGCGAGGCATGTCGAACTCGAGCTAGAATCCTGGCGAAAAAGCTCGCCAAGGAAAAAGCCGAGAAGGCCGAGGCAAAAAGCGAAAAGGCCAAAAAGACCTTGACCCGAAACAGGGAAGTGGACCCCGACAAAGCACCTCAAAAAGAGATCGCGAAGTCGAAGTCGAAGTCCAAACCCCTAACTCTCCTCCGTCAGTGAGAAAAAGGATCGACCTGATTTTCGGAGAGCTAAACCTTTGCAGTGGATCAATGAAATCAGTAATCACACCCCCCCCCCCCCCCACCTAGGAAACCATCGAGCTCCAGCTGAACCAGGCTTCATAAGGTCGCGGGGGGACACGTGTTAAAGCTACTCAGAAGCTCGTCAAAACCGAGCATCACCCAACTCTGGACACCTCGAACTCAAGCGCGCTCCAGCTCACGCATCGCTCACTCGTTCAGGGGGGGAGGAGGGGGGGAGGGGGAGCTACCCACAATGAAGCGATCGACTTCATCTGCGGAGGCTCGAAGATGTGCCGAGACACAATCAACTCAATCAAGGCATATCAATGCAAGGTCGAGTCCGCCACCGTAAACCTACCCCTGGATGGACCCGACCACCAAATAAGCTTTCTAGAAAGCGAAATGCTGTCTCTAGACAAACCACATGATGACGCACTCGTCATCCAGATCGCTGTAGGCAGTTTTGACCTCACCAGGGTCATGATCGATACCGGTAGCTCGATAGTTGGCTGTTCTTCGACGCTTTTAGACGCATGGGATACCAAACGTCCATGCTGTCAAATGATCGAACTCCACTCACTGGCTTCGCAGGAGAAACCACCTACTTTTTAGGAACCATCCAGCTTCCAGTTAAGGCCGGCGGGGTCATAAAAACAATCGACTTCGTGGTCGTAGATCGCCCAGCTCCATTTAATGCCATTCTCGGCAGACCGTGGCTCTACACGATGAAAGCAGCTTCCACATACCACCAATGTGTCAAATTCCCAACCCCTTGGGGAACCAAATCGATTCGCGGCTCCCAACAAGCCTCAAGGGATTGCTACATGGGCAGCTTCTTGCGAGCTGAGAAAGCTCCCGTATAGCAATTACTGAAAGAGGAGGAGCTTGCAGTCCGGCAACTCAAACACAATAAAGACCACTCCGTATACGAACCTCGAACAAAACTGATCGAGCAAGTATGCATAGACGAGACCAACCCCGAAAGGTGCGCTGGAATCGGGGTCAACCTCGCGAAAATGATTCGCGACGAGCTAATAGGTTTTCTAAAAGAAAATATAAACACTTTCGCATGGTCCACTGCGGACATGCCGGGCATCGATACAGAGGTCACCACACATGACCTCAACATCGACATAACCATCAAACCCGTCTGACAGAAACGCCGCAAGCTCGGCTCAGATGGAGCTAAAGCAGTCAATGACAAGGTTGACCGACTACTCAAAGTGGGATCAATCAGAGAGGTGAAATACCTTGACTGGTTTGCAAACCCCGTGGTCGTCCAAAAGAAAAATGGAAAGTGGAGAGTCTATGTCGACTTCACCGACCTAATCAAAACATGTCCAAAAGACAGCTTCTCACTTCCACACATCGGCCACCTGGTCGAGGCCACAGCTAGCCATCAACTCTTGTCCTTCATGGACGCCTTCTCCGGATACAATCAGATCAGGATGAGTCCAGAAGACCAAGAAAAAACAGCCTTCATTACAGATCGAAGTACCTACTGCTACAAAGTAATGCCCTTCAGCCTGAAAAACGC